CAGCCACAAGTGACTGAGGATACCAGAGGAAGAGGAATGTGCACTCCTGGTGTCCAAGCACAGCAAGAACAATGCAACATTTTTGATAAGCCATCAGACAACTGTTGCAACACAGCCTGGCTAATGAATGAAGCACTGGAAAACCAGGCTAGGACACAGCATGACAGGGCCTTCAAATAAAATTAAACCCTCAGGGAAGTCACTATTAACATTTTGCAAGGAGCACACCCCCCATCAATCATATTAGGAGGGCACACTTGTCCCAAGTTCTGCTCAATTATTGTATGCTCAGAAGGAAAACAAAACACTGCTAGAGAAGAAATCCCAAATGTGTTCCACTGCCACAGAGAGCTACAGATAGTGGACAACATATGAGACATATTATCCTGCAGGCCTGTAGCCAAGCCCATGATATTAAGAATAATAAGCCATCTGATGGCTGTTTAGAACATTTTGTTTTCTATATAGGACTGAAAGGAAATCGTAATTCAAACACAGCATATCACCAGTTATAAGAGACTGTTTCCCTACAAGAAACTGTGGCCTCTCTCAAGTCTGAAGCTACATTGGTTTGTCAAGGAGTCATAGCTGTCTTCTGAAGGAACAATCTGGAATCATTTAACATTCCCAGAGGTGCAACTCTGTAGCTTATCCAAACAGAACAGATTTTGCTGAGGTAGGAAGTTTACCATGAAAATGTCTAATTTACCCAGGAAACCACTCAAGAACATCTCAGGCAGATAAATACATATTATTCCTGCTGGAATAAGCATTTCTTAAAGGAACACCCAGTTCAGACACTCTTCATTGCCACGAAACTCTTAGGGGGTGTAGAAAAGACAGGCAATGCCCTGTGCTGAGAGTAAAGAGACCCCTGAGCCCACAGCAGCCCCTTCATGTAGCTGTGCCAGAGGAGAGCACGTTCCCTCACACCACATGGCAGGAACTGTCACTGAAAGGATTCCTGGACCTCAGGCAATGGGAAGCCTGCAACCACACTTGCACAAATAAAATGTTCACCTACAATCCATGAGTAGTCAGGTAATGGACACTGGCTGCCCAAACAGGAAAACTGGGTTGCAGAGACAAGAGCATTCACCTCATGGAACTTCAGAGGATCAGCCTAGCTGGCACTTTTGGGGATAATTCCAGTTGCACTTGCAACAACTGCTCTCATTCCAAGAAGACATTCATTAGGCTGTAATTTTCCAAATCAAAAGTTTGCAATTGATAATGATAGAGAATTCAGAGCACCTGATGGAATGTTATATCCTGAAGGTACACATACACAGTCCTATAAAGTGAGTCCAAAACACATGCATTTCCCTCAATCAATGCTTTTATAACAACCATAAACAGGAGACACTGTATTCGAGCACACTGTGGGGGTGGCAGCAAGATTTGGAATGTTTCCTCATGCGTTGTACTGAGATACAAGACATTGTGGATGAAATGCAGTGTATTTGAATCCTTGCAGTGCCATTCACAGCATAATCTACACAGGTAGAATCTGCTTTTGCAGCCTGACCTCAACAATACTGACGCAGCAACCAAAACACAGCTTGTATCTCTCACCTCTAACTAGAAATATGATTACTTATCACTGAAACAACATCCACATAACACTGAACACAGTAGCTGTGTCATGGAAAAAGTGAACGCAATCACACAATCTTATCTTGTTTCCTAATTAAGAACTCACATTTATGGACGCTCAGATGTTAAAAGAAAAAAAAAAAATAAAAAGAGCAGTCCTATTAAAAGAGGTGGAAAATACCACTATGTGGAAATAACAAGACCTCAAGCATGTTTGTACAAAGTCCTTTGACACATTTTTTCCCAACGTACTGCCTGACCAACACACAGAACAATGAAAACACAGTAAGACATTACCTTGATGCAGACAGACATTTTACCTTGGCGATGCTCTAGTCCACTTCTGGCCGTCTCCACACAGTGAAAATCTGCTACTACCCCTAAGGGGATCTAAAGCAAGACACTCCCACCTCACCACTGCTATAAAGACTTCTACTAAGATAACTATGAATAGAAGTTAAGGCTGATTGAGGGACTATTTTAACCAAAGCATACTTCACATCCTGCATCGTGAATTAAGCAGGTTTGTTTTCCTTCTAAGGCACTGTGATGGGAAGCCAATAATTTTGAGCCAATGGGTAGCCCCATTGAAGAAGCAAAGAACATTTTTTACAGTTTCCAGGTGTTTACTTCCTTCTGCCTTTCTGCATAATAGCCCACTGCCCATAAAATTCAGCTTTGCCTCCCCTGGTAGCCACTTAAGCCAAAGGCAGCTGGGGTCTAGGCTGTGCTCAGCCAATTCATAAGAAGGTCATCAAGAGGTCACAGATCTCTCTCAACTTGGCCCTGAGAAGAGACAGACCCCAGCAGACCTCCACCCAGAGAGCAAGGCAATTTCCAAAAATAAATGTGGACTTTGTTCAGTGGCACATGCCTGATGCAGCCAGAAAAAAACTTCCATTACAGCCAGCAGCTGAGCTTAGAAAGCCAAGATCCTCCTGCAAGGCATCAAAAGTCCTGTAGTCATACTACTGAACTATTCCATGCACGAGGGCTTATACTTCCCACTATTTTTATTGACCCAGACTCTTTCTGGTAGCTTGAAGGCCTCCCATCTATCCTGCATTATGTATCCAAGCACACAGCAACCCCACAAAGGTTGATCCAGCCCAGTCACACTCCTGCAGCAGCCAGAGCTACACCTGCAGAAAATTAAACACCTAAGAAGAAGCACAGGGACAGCCAAGATTTGCAATAGAGACTCCAGAAAAAGAAATCATCTTCTATAGCATTAAAACCAATGCAAAGTTCTTCTTTCTCCAGATATGCATAAGTATGAAAAAACACAGACTACACATGCATAAGAGACAGAGAAGCCCAAGGGCATTATTGCCTATGGATGGAAATTATTTTGCCACCACTACCACCCCCAAAGCACAGTGAGACCAGAGACCACCTGTGCTGGGCACTGGGACAGTCCGGCAGAGCTCCTGCCTTGAAGAACACATCAAGACTATACCATATACAAGCAGATCAGTAGAGAAAGAACATGGGCAAGCAATAAGGAAGCACAGTGCACAGATACTCCATTAACAGCTCAGGTTTGGGGCTTGCGCTGCCTTCAGCTTCAGTGAACCGAAACACTTGCCTGACACATCCCCACCCGTGACCTGCTCAGTCAGAAAAGCTTGGGCTAACTGAACACTGGAAAACACAGAAGCACCAGTTCCACACTGGTCACTGTAGACTGTGGCCACTGGCAGGACTTCTCCAGACCTGCTGACTCTACAGACATGACAGCACATCATGTTAGAGCCATGGCCTCTGAAGGAAGAATTAGCTTCCATCAGTTTCTTCCCATCTTAGCAGATGCTGTGTTAGAAGACATTTCAGAGATGATATTTCAGATGAATTTCACAGAAGTTCCCTGCAAGCAGCTGTGTCAGATGGCTGCCCCCTGGGCTGTCAGCACACAAATAAGCTTGTGCATTAGAACAAGCATCTACACAATGCTAATGGAAACTGTCCTTGTGAGAAAACATAGGATTCATTGGGCCAAAAACCAGTTCTACAAACAACTTTCAGACTGATTACACATCAATTGTCACCCGCTGGCATCCTGCCATCCATGTAACCCTCTTGTACACTCAGACTCACTATTCTCAGTCATTCTGTCCATGGTTTGCCCAAAGCAGTTCCTCTCTCCCTAGCTCCTGGAGCACTTCCATTTGTGAAGCCTATGTACATGCACATCCTTTACCATCAATAAGTTCTGGGTCTTGCATATGCAAATTTTTTCTACAGGAAGTCAACATGATAATTCTGTCCTGCTCTCCAAATTCTAGCTTGGGAGTAACCTACCCACAAATGAACAACACCTCAAGTCACTTTAAAGCTATGAAATGATCACTTGCTTCCTGCTCCACACAACAGCCTCAGTATGTGTCATCAAAGGGTGCACAGGCTTTTAGCAGACACATGTTGCAAAGTCCTTCACATCTGCTGCCTGCCGAGCCCAGCACCCCCTTGGGCACCACAATCACAGAGGCTTTCTCTAGTAGCTTGGAGTATTTTGGAACGTTTCTACTCCAGCCCATCTGGCCACACAGTCACTGAGTTTCCCCCTAAAAACATATCTGCCTAGCAAAGCCCTTTCACAAAGGCTGGTATTCTCCTGCCCTACAGGAATGGGTTTTTTCCCCCTCTTGAATTTTACACCTCTAATTTTGGTGAAACATTTGAATACATCACTGCAGACAACACACCACAGCCCAGAGACACAAGGAACCAGGGTGACTTCCTGAATCTGCCCTGTAACTCTCATGAGAAGACCTGGTGAGTGGGTCAAAGGACACCCACCCACCTTGTTAACACATCCGGCACCTTCAGGCTCCAAGACAGGTGAACAAGTACATCTAGCCTGGACCATACCTTTAACCATACAGACAGTTATGACATCCACAGCACTCAGCTTGTCTCCCAGCTCTGCTAGAGATACAACTCTGAGTTCAGCTGGCGGCACAGTGAATCCTTCCTGTTGCTCCCTATGGTCTGGAGTGTAGATGACACAGGCCCATGGATGCCCGCTGGCCACTGCCTGGCTCCACGGAACCGGCAGCAGGGCCATCACGGTTCACTTCGGGGGCAAAGAGGCAGCTTTCCAAAGCACGGCAGGATGATACACCCCCTTCTGCGATCCACGGTCATCGCAGCTCGCCAGAGGCTGCAACATGGAGGCAACACAGCCGCGCTCCAGTGCTGTGCCCCCTGCCCCGCCGGTCCCCCGGGCCGCTCCCGCTGGAAGCACAGCGAGGGCCCGAGTGCGCATCAGCCCCTGCCTGGGGCCGGGCCTCCCCGCCAGCGAGGAGCGCGGCCCGGCGGGGCAGGGATGCTGCGGGGGCCGCCTCCTGCCCGGCCCCGCTCGTGTCCGGGCTCCGCGCAGCCCCGGCGGCCGGGCGGCTCACCTGGGCACGCAGCTCGGCGCCGACCGATCGATCTCCCACGTGGCGAAGAGGTTCATGGGCACCTGCATCGGGCTGCCCACCGCCATCGCGGCCGCCGCTGTCGCCGCCGTCCCGCCGGCCGCCGCCGGAGGCCCTGCGGCGGGGCCCGAGCCCAGCGCACCGCTCGTCGACGCCGCGGCCGCCATCGCCGCCATCCCGCCGCCGCCGCCGTCGGCGCTGGGGGGCGGCGCGAGCCCCTCGCCTCAGCGACGGCCTCCACCCCGGCGCGCGCGCGCGCGCGCGCGCCCGCTCCTTCGCGGCCCGTGACCAATCAGAGCGCGGCTGGGGCGCGGGCACGAGCCAACCGGAGTCAGGAAAAGGGCGAGGACCGCGGCTGATGGGAAACAGCCAATCGGAGCCGAGCGAGAGGCGAGGCCGGGGAGGCCGTTGCCCAATCGGAGAGGCCGGCGGGGCGGGGCCAGCCAATGGGAGCGGCGCCGCTGCCCCGGCTTGGAGGGGGTAGGAGGGCGCGGCGTCGCTCCCTTTAAAACGCATCGGTGTCCGCCCGCGGGAGCGCGCCCAGGGGCGCGGTCGGGCGCGCGTCCCACCGCCAGGGCTGGTCCAGCTGTCTGTCCGTCCCCGCACCCGGGCAGCGGCGGAGAATCCCCGGGGCTGCCCCGGGCCTCGCCCGCGCACGAGCTGCTCTCCCGGCGGTGGCGGTGAACCGGCGGTTAAGATGTCCGCGGGAACGCCCGCGGCGATGGCGAGCCGTGAAGCGCCGAGAGGAGAGGGTGCCCTCAGGGCTGAACAGCAGGGCCGGCCAGCGGATGGGCCTGAGGAGGAACAGAGCAGCTGGACCCGGGGGCACGGCGAGATGAAGCCAAAAGGAAGGCGAGACCTCCGACTGTCTCTTTCCTCGAAACACTTGGGAACTCCGAGCAGGCTACAGGAGCAAGGCAGAAATCCCCTTCAGTCCCACTGCACCTCTCCAGGCCAATGCAGCAAAAGGAGGAACCTCGTCGGCCAGAAACTGCAAGTGGTGGCTGTCATGGGCAAAAGCCTTTTGTGACCTGGAGACCATGCCCAGAGCTTCAACAGCTGAGAAGGCGTTGCAGATTAGAAAGCATGTGCAGAGCAGAGCATCCCTAGGGACAGAGCTGAGGACACACCTGTGACACTGCAGCTGGACAAGTGCACTCTGTTCTGGTAGAAAGCACGAAAGTTCCCCACTGTACCTTGCCTCCAGCAGAAGTATCTGTCTGAAATGGCTCAGAGAAATCACATAATCAAAGTAGGGTGGTAGGGTTGAGGGCTTCTGAAAGGAAGCAGAGGTGATCCGAGAGCTGCACTGAAAACTATGTGAAAGAAACAGGCAACTCAATAGTGGTCAAACCAGAAAACAAAGAAAAGCCAGCAGCTTCTGCAGGGACCTGTGCTCCTAAATGCATTTAGCAGTGACAGAGTTTTCCATGGATGCAGTGTTATTCCAGGCAGACTGTATAACATGGCTTATGCCAGTGGAGGAATTAGACTCGGAAAAGTGGCATCAGCAAAATCTTGCAAAGCAGCCTAAAACATCCATGGTTTCTACTGTCAATATTGAGTACTGTGTTTTCAAAACATTACCAGCAAACATTCTGGGGGCACCTTCCTAATACTGAATACTGATGTATCATTTGTAGTCTGTCCCTTGCACCTCTTCTTACTTGCATTTGTCAGGTCTGCATTAGCTCTGCTGTTGGGGTTCAGGTTGGTCAGTAACATGCTGGTAATTCACATCAGATTCCAGTTTGACTAGATGGATAATCTGAACCATCATCAAACTTTTACTTTTTGTTCTCTGCCCACCTTCCAGGCCCACTTCTGCATCTGATAAATGGCATGGGTCTCAGCAGAGTTGCCCAGACCTCCTGACTTGCTCACAAAACAGCTTCATTGCTGCTTTAATGCATTTGCTTTCATTTAAGTAAGTCATTAATGCACAAGAGGACCTTTGCTTACACCCTTGACAGCCTTTGTTCTCTAAGAACATTTTCTAGGGGATCTTAGCAGAGGCCTTTGTGTAAGACCAGCTGGACCAAGGATGAGCTGCATTTTCATAGCATTCTGCCAATTGATGTGGAAACCTGGGCTTTGCAGCCGAAGAGAGTCACACAATGGTCATGGCCTTATTCTCAGCATTTTCACTTATCATTGTTTGACCTCAGCTAGACATCACCACTGCCTTTCCCCAAAGCAGCTGCTGGCTTCAGAGGAGCTTGCTAAATCTAGGGTCTTGATTTACCCTGAGAAAACCCACTGCAGTCCCTCCCCAGCTGTTTGCTTTTATCCATTTGCTTTCTAGTCTGAGTCACCATTCCTGGCTATTTGTGTGATACTTTAATAGCATTGAGTGCTCTAGGTTTTCAGCAATGCCTGCTCACTTCCAGATCAGAGGCACCTTCCTTCTGAGCCCAGGGCAGCCTGCTGAGGTGACTGCCTTCCAGACACTTCCCAAGGGCTGGCAGTCCTGCTGCTCCCCCTTTCCCCCACCTTTCTGAAGGATGCCCATCACTTCCAGCCACCTCTGCTCTGCCCTGGGACTGTCATGGTTTACAATCTGTGATGCTTTCTCAGAGCTGTTGGAGCTCAGGGCACAGTCCCCAGGTCATAAATGGTATTTCCCTGTCGCAACCACCACTTGCAGTTTCTGGTTGATGAGGTTGCTCTTTTTTGCTGTTTTCCCTGGAAGGATGTTCAGTAGGACTGAGGTGCATTTCTCTGCCTCTTTCCCTCCAGCCAGTTCCCTTCAAGTACTTCTTGCAGCTCACTTGGGTTTTTTTTGCCTTCTGGCTTTTTTTGCAGATGAATTTGTGCATTTGTTCTGAGGTTGTTTCAATATGCTTTATTTATTTTGGGGTTTGTCTACATAGCCCACTCTTCCCTTTTTTCCTGTCTTCATGTTTTATTGACTTTGTGCCTACAACATGACCTACCCACAGCTGTGTTCTTCCACACATGGTGGATTTCCCCATTCTTTTAGGTCAAAATTATTGTGTGTTTTTCACTGCAAGTAATCTTCCAGCTTAAACAGAGGCTGATAGAGTTGTCATCACATTCAGCTGCTTTCCCAGCTCCTCTTATGCTGAGACCTTTCTGTGTGCCAGCCACCCACTGAGGTCTGCTTCGTTGTGGATAAGATCCTTGAGGACATCAGGGAAATGCTCTTCAGCATCCAGGTAACCCATTTGAAATGTGCCTTCATAAAAGCCTTTTACTTATTTTCTTTTATGTGTCACAGTTTGAAGCTCTCAGCACGGTCCCCAGACTACTGCCAGCCTTTCTCCATTACAGCCACTGCTTGTTGTTCCTTGCTGACAAACTTCCTCTGCTTCCCGCAGCGCCCCTTTGAGGATGTTAACGTGACTGATGGATTTCTCCATCTGTCTCCCAACAGCCTTTGAGTGCATTGCTGTCGCTGCCCAAAGGGACTTTTTAGCGCCAGTGATGGGGTGAAGGTGTCATGGACAGAACAGGGCTAAGCTGAAGATACTTCTCCACCCAGGTCTGGAGCTGGCAGCAGCCAGAGAGCAGCTATGTGCCTGGGAACCCTGGTGTACCCTCTGTGGTTCCTTTACATTTTATCCATGATACAGTTGCATCCACATACCAACACTCTGGCAACCCGGTTCCAGCACTGTTTTAGAGAAGCACAAAATAATCTGTTCTTGTTCTGGCTCCTTATTTTCATGTGCCTTGTTAAAGCAGCTCTTTACTGCTTCCCACGCAAATGTTGTCACCTCTCGTCCTAGTCTCTAGTGGAGACTCAGGGGTTTTATGATTCCAGCTCATGGATGAATCATCTTGTCTTTAGCCCTATTGCTTGGTAGGTTCCTTCAGCACCTCTGTCCTGCCTCTATCATGTGGATACCTCTGTGGTGTCCCCCTCCATGGGCAGAGGCCTTTTGCCCCTCCCTGCATCCTGCAAGAGACTGCTCAGATAGTGAGAGCCAGTGCTTCTGTGTCCTGGAGGAAAGAAGTAGATTTTTGCAGTGTTGGCTTGCCCTCTTGTGCCTCATGTTGCTCTCCACTCGAGTTGCAAGGTCTCCTTTCATTTTTGGAGGCAGTTTGCTTTGGCTGCTTTATTCCGCTGCTCTTTCAGCCCGTCTGGGGATTGCTGTTTATTCCTGGGTTAGGAGAATGCTCCCACAGCCAAACTCCTTACCTTGTTGCACCTGGCTAACCCAGAGCTCTGCTCCTTTTACACAGGACCTCCACCTGCCTCCATCAACCAGTCCACCTGTGGGACACGTGAGCTAAGCTTGGATGCTTAGCTAAGCACTGGTCCAGTGCCTCCATTTGCCAAGGACACCACAGGTTAGATTTATGTGTTACTGGTGGCAGCTGAGATTCCCCCAGGGCATTAGATCCAACAGGGACCTACAGCCACTCTGTCAGCAGCTGGATGCAAGGGTTGCACTTCCCTTGGCACTGTGAAACTTGCACTTGTCCTTGCTCTCAGATCTATGCCTGTTTTTGCTCATAGCCCATCTCCAGAGGTCTTAGAGCTTCCAAAATGTATCTACAGTGAGCATTTCAGAGAGAAAATACACTGAAAAACCTTCCCTGTGTAGCTAAGACCTACATCACTCAGAAGAAAGTTTGGAGTTAAATGCAAGAAGCTGCTTAGGCTGATAGAAGAACAGTTGCAGAGGGGTATGTCCACCAGGGTAATCGAAACCCTTTGCCTTCCCTGGCCCGCTCTATCTGGACACAAGCCTCTGGTGGTGCCAAGCCCACCTGTACCAGAGCCCGGCGAGGCTGGGGCTCTCCAGGACCCTGCAGACCGGCACGGCTGGGTGTCAGGTCATGAGTTCCCCTGCCTTCTCCGCCCAGCAAGGTCAGGTCGCGGCCCCAGTCCCTCCTGGAGGGCAGACATCCTTGTCAGGCCAGGCTTCCCAGGGCGCCGCTGGTTCGCCCGGGGCCTCTGCTGGGCGGCGGCCCGTGGGTCTGGCAGGGGCAGGACGGGGGCTGGACACGCGTGGGGATGCAGGCGGCGGCCCCGGGGCGGCAGCGGATGGGGACAGGCGGGCGGCGGGAGCGAGCCCGGGCAGGGGCAGCGGACCCGGCGGGGCGGCGGGCGGCGCCGGGCCCGCGGGTGAGGCGGGGGCCGCCGCAGTCCCCGCCCGCCGCCCGCCGGGAGGGGCCGAGCGCCGCCGCCGCAGAGCCGCCGCCG